GTTGAAACAAAACATGTTTTATTATTTAAAGGTTTCCTAATAAAATGTTGCCATATTATAAGGAAACCTTACAAATTAATATTTTAATAGGAATCCTAAAATGATTTGTCAGGTTTATTTTTTGTGTGCAAAATATTGAATTTTTGTATGGATGCATGATATCACAATGACGTGAAACTTTGCAAAGGCCATTTTTTTTCAAAAAAAAAAAAATAACATTCTGAGAGTTTGGAAAACTTTCAATTAAAAGTAAGGGTACCTCCCATATAAAATTTTCAATTTTTGGCTCAAAAACGAATTATATTATATGCATTGTTTCTTCAAACTCTCGGAATATTATTTTTGTGTGGAAAAAAATAACCTGTGCAAAGTTTCAGCTCATTACGATATCATACAGGCATGGCTTCCATACAAAAATCCAATTTTTTTGAAATTTTTGTATGAAAAGTGTGCCGAAAGTTGATTGTATCGCAAAACTAACGTCATATTCGGTGTTTAAGAATACATTAAATATCACTTTGGAAGAAAATTTGAATTTTTCCCATGGATGGCCATGGGCATCATACCAGACATGGCACTTCACTCTATCAACCAAAGTCGCTCAAAATCTAATGGTTTCTATTCCTCGGCACCCCCAATTATCCTGTGAAGTCAGATTTTGAATTACTTTTCTTGTTTGAAAGTTATCGTGTTAACAAATTTTTGCGTACAGGGTACAGGGTACAGCGTACAGGGTACCACGCACATACATTGACATGGCCAAAAAACCGTTGCTCTGTGCTTCTCTATACCCAAAACGCATAAAAAAACGATTTTTAGCGATTTCAAAATTTTGGGGTGATTGCAATACTTTACTGCACACAGTGGGTGTGCGGAAAAGTAAAAATCATATCTTGGGGCAGGGGTCATAAAAAATTTCTCTCGTCATTCTGAACAACTTTGTAGTACATTATTTTCTGATCCGATCAAATTTTGACATGGTGGGGTGCTCCCCCGACCCCCCTCATGGTATGGGCACCTCCTATTTTCACATACTTATTTTTTCGCCACTTTATATCGATCTGTACTAAGGAAATTTGAAACTTTTATTAAAACTTCGATATGTTTACTGGTAAGAAAAATTAGGACTTATTAGGTCCTGTCAATGTATACGTTATATGCAATTTACTAAAAAAACTAAGAAAAATTAGCAATAATAAAGCCCGTGTCTCCCTCTAGGCACGCACATTTGCAGAAAAGTTTTATATTTTAAAAGATGGTTTACAATTTTTGGACAACGGTCAAAAATGT